TGGGTCTGGGTCCGGGTCTGGCTCTGGCTCTGGCTCTGGGTCCGGCTCTGGGTCCGGGTCCGGGTCTGGGTCTGAGGAGATGTTATGGTTTCCAGCTGGGACCGGGTGTGGTCGCTGTGGTTTTGGAGACCCACTGAGTTCATCTTTCCCAGCTCTGAGGCCGTCTGCCAAAAGGCTTCTCTGGAGGTTGTTCTGATTCTGCTTTTGGCCAAACATGTGTTATACCTGATCGTGATCGAACCCATGATCGAACCATGATCGAACCCATGATCGAACCCAGTCCTGACGTGTGATATTGTTCTGTTTGTGATGGGTTTTTGTGTTTTTTTGGGTCTAAAATCAGCAAGTGTTGTGTTTCATTGAGCCAAAAATGTTGATGGTTTGAACAGAAAGAAACGGAAAAGCTATGATTCATTTGTGCTTTTGTTTTGGTCTGTCGTGTGGAGAGGCTCAGTCTTGGATCTAGATCAATCATTTATTTGTATAGCACAGTTTGTGTACAAGGCAATTCAAAGTTCTGCACAAGAGCAATTTAAAAACACTGATCTAAATGTATTAAAAAGTCACTGAAACATATTATATTTCAGATTAAAACAAACTAATGAAGATCTTTTGTTCGTCCCACAGTGGGGAATTTCCAGTGTTGCATCGCAAGTTACAGACAGTATGAGGAAGATAAATTGATAATAATTGCATTGAACTCTAACCTTGCCTGCAAGCTGAATTCTCGTGGTATTTGTGAGTTCACAAACACTCGAGAATACATCTTGCCCCGCTCCCGCCGACCCTTTTCCAGTAGAACATCTAGTTGTAGATGTACTGACAGTCCTGGGCTGCACCAGCAGGGCATAGACAAGGTTGTGATTTGGAGCAAAAACAACGCTCTGGAAATAAACACCAAAAAAACAGAGGAGGTGGTATTTAGTTTAAACCCAGTAACCACAGCTCCCATTATCATCAACAACGAGCCAATCAAACAGGTGGAGTCATTCAAATATCTGGGTGTGGTCTTAGACTGTTCCTTGTCTTGGAAACACCACATTGACTTCATCTGTAAAAAGACTAAACAAAGAATATATTTCCTCCGTCGCCTGCGGTCTTTTGGAGCGTCTCGTCAGGTGTTGCTTCTGTTCTTCACTTCTGTGATTCTCAGTGTCCTGCAGTACTGTAACGCTGTGTGGTACAGCTGTCTCTCTGTCACTGCTAAATCTGGACTGAGACACTTGATTAAAATCTGCTCAAAGATTGTAGGACAGCCCCTGGATGGACTGTACGAGGCTGCATACCATAGCAACACACTGCGACTGGCTAAGAACATCACTTCAGACCCCGGCCATGTTCTGAACCTCGAATATGCGCTGTTACCATCAGGGCGGCGGTACCGTGTGCCACATTTTAATAAAGTCAGGTTGAGGAACTCCTTTGTCCATCAGTCCATCCTGAAGCTAAACGAGGATCTTAAGTCATAAAATCAAAGTGTGTTATGGCGAGCGGACAATTGTTTATAATGTCTTTGTGAATTGTCTTATACCTGTATGTCTTGTTTGTATTTTTACGGAGCTGCTGAACTGCAAAACAAATTTCGGATCCTTGTATCTGACAATAAAGCATTTATCTATCTATTGTTCAAGCCAATCACGCGCCAGTCTGGGGGTTTAGGGCGGGATATCCGGGTTTGATGAAAGCAAGAAGTGCCGGGCTGAAGCAAAACAAACATGGCTACGCAGGAGGACGGACGCGTAGCTGAGGCTATCAAGTCAGTTTTAGCAGAATCTCCAATTTCTTTTTTGAAAGATGAACAGCGAGAGGCGCTTTGTGCATTTCTGGACGGCAAAGATGTTACCGGGATTGGTTTAAGTCAAACCTTGGTAGGCGGGCACACAGCGTCACTTCGCCCAATCAGCTTGAAGTATTCTGCTACTTATCCCTCCTTTCCCCGAAAGGATTCTCCTGCAGAAGTTCCAGATTGATATTGTGGAGAACGCATTAGAGTTCTACACAATCATTAATCTGGCTCTTGCCAGGTTACATTGAACTCTAGCATAAAAAAGAAGCAGTATAAAATATCTATCTATCTGGGTCTACAGCCTCAGTCCTGGGTCTACAGCCCCAGTCCTGGGTCTACAGCCTCAGTCCTGGGTCTACAGCCTCAGTCCTGGGTCTACAGCCTCAGTCCTGGATCTACAGCCTCAGTCCTGGATCTACAGCCTCAGTCCCAGTCCTGGGTCTACAGCCTCAGTCCCAGTCTTGGGTCTACAGCCTCAGTCCCAGTCCTGGGTCTACAGCCTCAGTCCTGGGTCTACAGCCTCAGTCCTGGGTCTACAGCCTCAGTCCTGGGTCTACAGCCTCAGTCCTGATGTTGACATCTTGATAGAATGAGTGAGTCTGACAGCTGCAAAGCCACAGATTCTATGAAAGAAATATCCTCCAAAAACCAAAGTATTTAGGGCCCTCGCCGCACGAGCCGCCTCTGGCAGACGCTTGGCCCGTTCCCGGGTCGTGTGGTTATTCCTCTGCTCTCATCGCTTCATTATTCAATTACGGAGAAAACACATGTTAATCCCAACGTTAACCACAGGAAGAGAGCAGCAGAGAAGGTCCTGGTCCATGAGGAGGGACTCAGCAGGTTCAGGTCATATTCAAGGCACAGAGGCCTGAGACCAGGACTAATGCGATGGGACTTCCTGGTTCTAATCCGGACTCGAGCTGCAGTTTTAAAGCACACTGAGAGAAAATATATTACGCCACAAAGAATCTTCACCCAGTCTTGAAATAATACAGACATTATGCCATACAAAAGGCTTTTAGCATTAAAAAAAAAGAATACATTGCCAAAAAAAATTATCTGTGATTTTCAGTATTTTTATATTTATAGTAGTTTAGTTTATTTCTTATTTGGTGTCTTGCACCTAAAGATGCCCAGCCCGTATGGGCTTATAAGACACAAAAATGTAGCAGACATCAGAAAAACATCAAACAAAGAGTGTTCTCTTCCGTTGGAGCCATGCACTTAACAAAAACTTAGACAAATGAAATGGCTTAAACTTGAATAGAAACTTAAGCTTTTCCTCACAGTTCAAACAAAAGTTCAGCAACATCAGACAGTTTGCAAAATAATTGCCTTCTCAGATCATGGTACAAAGGACAATAAAAAACAAAATGCAATTCATTTTCAATATCATTTAAGTGACACAAACAACATGTCCGCTCCTCCTCTGGGACCGAGTGAAATCGTCCTGTCTCTAGAGCCAGGGGCAGGGTCCCAGACCTCAGTTGAGCACAGACTGACCTCTGACCTCTGGTCAGGTTCAGGGTCACATAGGGCTCAGGACCAAAATGATCCTTTATCAAAACATAAGTTCTCAGTTTTGGCTTACACAAGACATTGATTAACCATTTATGTTTATACTTTTCAAAATAAACTCTTTTAAATTCTCCAACACTACAACGCAACTTGTTTCTGAAAATAAACTGGAGATCAGCATCAGCAAAAATTTTCTCCATCTGCACACTCCAAGCATTTCTATGAGACAGGTCCCATTTAAAGATGTGTTTGGACAGTCTTGAGTCAGACATGTTGATAAACCTATTCCATAACCGTACCATGTCACACACATGCCTTACTTCACATGGTTCCCAACCCAGGTCCCCGTACAGAGCGAGTTTAGGGGTGTTTTTATGAACAGCTAGAAAGTATCTCATAGCTCTGCATTGAACTTTTTCACTGTGCGTCTGTTTAGAGTAACCCCAGACCCCAGCACCATAGTCCAACACCGGGCACACACACGCTCTGTACAGCTCAGTGTAGGTCTTATAACCCAGATCACGACACGCCTTCACTTTATTTATAACAGCACCGAGAGCTCGACCTGCAGATTCAGAGAGTGATTTAATCCCTTCATCAAATGTGAGATGTTCATCTACCATAAATCCCAGATATTTGTACTTTTTGGTAAAAGAAAGAACTGTATTGCCAAAACAAAATGTAATGTCTGATAATGCCTGGGTACTTCCTCTGAAATGCATAACTTGAGTTTTATCAGAATTTATCATCAGTCTCATTTTGTTGCACCAAGCATGAACAATATTCAACATTTTCTGAAGGTCTGATTCCTTTTCGGCGAATAGCACAATGTCGTCCGCATACAACAGAATACAAAATTTCAAGTCTCCCACATTAATGCCCACATCTGCCTCTTTTACTTCATTTACTAAATCATTAATGTATATAGCAAATAATGTGGGAGACAGAACATCACCCTGTTTTACGCCGTATGGTGTTGGGAACCAGTCAGTGAAGTGGTCATTTACTTGAACACAAGAGATTGGATTTTTATAAATAGCTTTAACTGCGTCATAAAATTTACCATCAATCCCCATTTTTAATAACATATAGCCAAGTAAATCTCGATTAACACAGTCAAAAGCCTTCTGAAAGTCTATGAAACAGGCAAATGTAGACTTTCCCTCTTGTATTCTAGCATTTGTTACTGAGATAAGAGAATAAATGTGATCTATACAGGCTCTCTTTGTCCTAAACCCGTTTTGCTCGTCAGCCAGTAGGTCAAGGGATTCCAGGTAACACGTCAATCTCTCATTAAGAATACTGCTATACAATTTGTACACACAACTAAGGAGACTTATTCCTCTATAATTCATAGGCACTCGAGGGTCTGAACTCTGTGACTTTGGAATAGGTTTGATAACAGATTTGTGCCAGTCTGAAGGAATCAAGCCCTGCTCAAAGCAAGTAAACAGTAAATTATAAAGCACTGGGAACAAACCAGGCTGTTTTAGCAATTCATTAGACAAGTTGTCAAATCCAGTCGCTTTCTTAACTTTTAGTTTATCTATTGCCCTTTTGACTTCACTTTCTGTAATATCAAAATTTAAATATGGATTATATGAAAACTTTGCAGAGATTTCCATTTGGACTTTTAGCACCAATATCATTTCAAAATAAAAATCGTCCCACTCAGGGGACACCAAACCAGTACAGTTTAATCTGTATGTAGCTGCACCCATACGCCCTCTCCCACGTGGCTGCACCCATACGCCCTCTCCCACGTGGCTGCACCCATACACCCTCTCCCTCGTAGCTGCACCCATACGCCCTCTCCCCCGTAGCTGCACCCATACGCCCTCTCCCCCGTAGCTACACCAATGCGCCCTCTCCCCCGTAGCTGCACCCATACGCCCTCTCCCCCGTAGCTGCACCCATACGCCCTCTCCCCCGTAGCTGCACCCATACGCCCTCTCCCCCGTAGCTGCACCCATACGCCCTCTCCCCCGTAGCTGCTGCCCATACGCCCTCTCCCCCGTAGCAGCACCCATACGCCCTCTCCCCCGTGGCTGCACCCATACGCCCTCTCCCACGTGGCTGCACCCATACACCCTCTCCCTCGTAGCTGCACCCATACACCCTCTCCCTCGTAGCTGCACCCATACACCCTCTCTCTCGTAGCAGCACCCATACGCCCTCTCCCTCGTAGCTGCACCCATACGCCCTCTCCCCCGTAGCTGCACCCATACGCCCTCTCCCCCGTAGCTGCACCCATACACCCTCTCTCTCGTAGCAGCACCCATACGCCCTCTCCCCCATGGCTGCACCCATACGCCCTCTCCCACGTGGCTGCACCCATACACCCTCTCCCTCGTAGCTGCACCCATACACCCTCTCCCCCGTAGCTGCACCCATACACCCTCTCTCTTGTAGCAGCACCCATACGCCCTCTCCCACGTGGCTGCACCCATACACCCTCTCCCTCGTAGCTGCACCCATACGCCCTCTCCCACGTGGCTGCACCCACACGCCCTCTCCCCCGTAGCTGCACCCATACACCCTCTCTCTCGTAGCAGCACCCATACGCCCTCTCCCCCGTGGCTGCACCCATACGCCCTCTCCCACGTGGCTGCACCCATACACCCTCTCCCTCGTAGCTGCACCCATACAACCTCTCCCCCGTAGCTGCACCCATACACCCTCTCTCTTGTAGCAGCACCCATACGCCCTCTCCCACGTGGCTGCACCCATACACCCTCTCCCTCGTAGCTGCACCCATACGCCCTCTCCCACGTGGCTGCACCCACACGCCCTCTTCCACGTGGACGCACACATGCCCCCAGTATCAGCCACACACCTCTGATCCACCAGTTTTATTTCGGGCCTTTCACAGTCTTTGCATTCCACTGCTCATATCTCACCCAGGGTTCAAACTGCTTCTAATCAGCCGGGTCACGAGGCTCCGGATGGGCGTCTGCGTTGGGTGGGACCCGCCGCGGACATGTCAGGTCTGAAAGGAGGGTCTCTTGGCTCTTATTCACCTCCGTCCTCCTGGTTGCATCACCGTCTTGGAGAGCAGTGCTGAACTACACTCTGTATTTGTAACTTTTTACAAGCAAACTTTTTCCATCGTCACAGAACCTAACTTTGAATAGAGCTCTGTGTAGTTTCTGGAAGTGTCGCAGGACGAGGCTCAACAGTGAAAGGAAAGTGTGTGTGTTCCTGACCATCCAACAGAATTAACACTCACGCTCCCACAGCAGTCGATTTGACGGCTTTTCGTTCTGGATGTGTAAAAACTGTGTACATTTGTATTTACATGCAAAAAAATAGGCCTAAAAAAACAAATTGGTTTTCAAATTAGGTCCAACTACACACAGGAGAAACTACATTTAATTCAAATCATTCAATATTCTTTAAAATTGTGACCAAGTTTTGTATTGTGTTCAAATCCTGTCATTAAACTTGTGATCCATCCATCCATCCATTTTCTACCCTTTAATCCATTTCTGGGTCAGGGGGGTGGCAGTCAGAGATGCCACCCAAGTCTCATAGCAGCAGCCCCTCACTGACCCTCTGCAGGTGGTGAGTCCACAGGAGGACGGCTGCTCTCTGAGTGTGAGCATAGCCTTGATCTTTCAGTGGGGGCTTTGGGCAAAGTGGGGTTAAGTGTCTTGCCCAAGGACACAACGACAGCAGTCATCAGTGGGAGTCGGTGGAGGAGACTTGTGATCAGTCTGTTTATTATTGTTTTTAAATGGGTTTCCAGCCCTAAAACGTCCACATTGTAGATAAACACGTGTTGCCGCTGGTCTTTGTAGCGTTTAATTACGATGCGTTCTGCTTTGATCCACGTCGCTCCGGCTTTGACAGTGTTTACGTCTGTTGCGTAGAAACTGCACTAATCTCTTCTTTCCCGCTGCCTTCATCACTTCTGCCCCTCGCTGCGCTGCTCTCCTCTTTCTCCTCTTTCTCTACCCTGGTCTTACCACACCATTGTACTCATTTCATTTCATACTAAGGTCTGGATTGGCTCCATTGACTCAGTTAACAGGTGGGAGGGGCTAACTCCTTTTGCAGATTGAAACCATTGGATCTGAGTTTACTGTGACGTATGTAATGAGCCCGAGTGAGTGAGGCATTTAGCATTCAGCCTAGCTTTAGCAGGTAGTCTAGCTTTAGCATGTAGCCTAGCTTATTCCATCTCCTTTGCCACTAACGGAGCCCGTGGGGAGTAGAGCCACAATCTTTGCTTCAATGACATTTACTAAACATTCCTCTTGCTCCGGCTTCAGTTTCTTGATATTTGGATTGAATCTGGACAGATTATTTTACTATTCTCCGCCATTGCCAACACTAAAAGCAGATTAATAAAACATTAATGGTCAATTTCTCAAACTCAGCCTGATCCAAAACAGCCCCCCTGTCCCACCCCCCCATCCCTCCTCCCATCCCTTCTGCCCCTCCTGCCCCCCCTGTACCCACTGTCTCCCAGCCACAAACAAGTGATAGTAAGAGTTTACCAGTAAAGCCATCTGGTCCCCAATCTGTGGTGCGCTTCCAACCGCCTTCCCACGATGCACTACGTCTGTCGTCATGGTGATGTCATGATAGCATTTCTTTCATGTCCTGACTCCCGAACTCCCATTGGTCACATGTAAACCTATTTTTTATTTGTTTTTTTGGATTGTTTGGTTCTGCATTATTCTGTGTTATTGGCTTCATTAACTATTGTGAATTCTTACATAAATATTGATCAGAAAAAATACATTTTCCAAACAAACATTAATAATACATGATTCTAAAAGTGTCCATGTTTTAACTCAAACCTACATGCATTTGTTATAGTCTGACTGGGTTCGAATCCCGGTCGGAACAGGGCTTTTCTGAGTGGAGTTTGCATGTTCTCCCTGTGTCGGCGTAGGTTTTCTCCAGGTGCTCCAGTTTCCCCTACCACTAAAAACATGTACAATAGGTGTGATGAGTGATGAGTGAGTGGATGGTGTTTGGTCGGAGGCTTTGATGGACCAGTGTGTTCGGCGTTCGGTGGAGAGAATGAAACGATATCTGATTTCTGAACAGTTTTGAAGCGCTTTGGGTGAGCTTGGGTGGTAAAAATGCGCCATATAGATAAAGACGACTTACTTACATCGGCCCATCTCTAGTTCTGTGGTCACATGAGACGTCTGCTGCACATTCTACAGAACATTCTCCACATGCCAGAAATATGTATAGACTGTGACCACCAGAGGGACCAGACCTGTTTGTTTGTCCATGATTTGGGTACATTTCTGGATCCAGGATTTCTTTTTAACCCTTTAATCCTCTTTAAACCCTTTTTTAACCCTTTAATGTTCATTTTCTAAGATATTTGTTTTTTAATTATAGTCTTTTACCAAATGGTTGAGATAGAGCTTGATGGTAAAAGTGCCTAAAACCCAAAAAGTGATCCACCAAATTGACCACTTAAAGGTTATGGAATGCAAGTGTGCCTCTTGGCAGTGGACTGTGCTCTACGAGGGCTGCTCCTGTTGTGACGTGGATGTGTGAATGTAAACAGTACGTTGTGAGTAGTCCTTCTCTGAGGTTTCTCCTTCAGTATGGATTCAGAACCAGCCGACAGAAGGCCAGACCCATGTGGAGCAGTGGTCTTTCCTCAGGCCTTAATCCCTGTGCTCCGGTCCCTGTGCTCCGGTCCCTGTGCCCCTGGACAAACATTCCAGTGAGCTGCTCCGTGTGCTTCCGAGGGGTTCTCTCTCTGCAGCATCTGGCCAAGCTCCCGTTACATAACTGTGTTTTGTTGGACGGACACTCTGAGCCTAAAGAGTTTGTAATGAGCTCCTTTAATGATGGCTTTTACAACATGGTCCCTGTGATTAAAGGGCCCTAATCTGTCATCATTAAAGGGCCTAATCTGTCATTATTAAAGGGCCCTAATCTGTCATCATTAAAGGGCCCTAATCTGTCATCATTAAAGGGCCCTAATCTGTCATTATTAAAGGGCCCTAATCCGTCATCATTAAAGGGCCTTATCTGTCATCATTAAAGGGCCCTAATCTGTCATCATTAAAGGGCCCTAATCTGTCATTATTAAAGGGCCCTAATCCGTCATCATTAAAGGGCCTTATCCGTCATCATTAAAGGCCCTAATCTGTCATTATTAAAGGGCCCTAATCCGTCATCATTAAAGGGCCTTATCCGTCATCATTAAAGGGCCTTATCTGTCATCATTAAAGGGCCCTAATCTGTGATCATTAAAGGGCCCTAATTTGTCATCATTAAAGGGCCCTAATCTGTCATCATTAAAGGGCCTAATCTGTCATTATTAAAGGGCCCTAATCTGTCATCATTAAAGGGCCCTAATCTGTCATCATTAAAGGGCCCTAATCTGTCATCATTAAAGGGCCCTAATCTGTCATCATTAAAGGGCCCTAATCTGTCATCATTAAAGGGCCCTAATCTGTCATCATTAAAGGGCCCTAATATGTCATCATTAAAGGTTAAATCCTCTTCAAGACACAGCCAAATGTACCCAAAAGAGTTGAAATAGCATGGTAGCATAGTTGCATGGTAGTATGGTAGCATAGTAGCATAGTAGCATGGTAGCATGGTAGTATGGTAGCATAGTAGCATGGTAGCATAGTTGCATGGTAGCATGGTAGTATGGTAGCATAGTTGCATGGTAGCATAGTTGCATGGTAGCATAGTAGCATGGTAGCATAGTAGCATGGTAGCATAGTAGCATGGTAGCATGGTAGTATGGTAGCATGGTAGAATGGTAGAATGGTAGCTTTTGGAAAGAAGTTGTTAGCATAGTTAGCATGTCCTGCATCTCAGAGGGAAAAAGCTGGAACATGGCTTTTCCCAGAGGTCAGAAGAGTCATGGATTATTCTGAGAGGTCGGTCTAAACTCATGTTTCTGTAAATGTGAGGGAATTTTACTGGGTCTGATTTAAACTGTGATATGTACAACTTCCAGAGATTAAATATTTGCGTTTTAGTTAGAAAACCAACAGGTCGTTATAGATCAGAAAGAATCCCACTGGTTGTAAATGACTTCATGTCTGTTGTAACATGGATTCAGAGATAGTTAGAACACACAAACCACTGTCCCCTGAAGAGTGTGGGCTCCAGTTTTCCTGCAGGCTGTGGAAAGCACCATGGTGTTTTCCAAAGTCCATCATTCCTTCAGACTCTTCATCCATTCCACAGTGACTCAGAGTCCTCCTCTTCCTCTTCCTCCTCCTCCGTCTGGTTTCTCATTCTTCACTCCTCAGGACAGATCCTAATAGCAGTGTAATTTACAGCTCACGGTCAGCCCGGGGCACTGTGTGTGTGTGTGCGTGTGTGTGTGTGTATATGTGTGTGTGTGTGTATATCTGTGTGTATCTGTGTGTGTATATCTGTGTGTGTGTGATTGCTGCTGCAGTCTCTCCTTGTCGTAACCAGCAGCAGATCTGGTTATTTTTATACATTCATACATATACTTATACTTATACATATACATATACATATACTTATACATATACTTATACTTATACTTATACATATACTTATACTTATACTTATACATATACATATACATATACATATACTTATACATATACTTATACTTATACTTATACATATACTTATACTTATACTTATACTTATACATATACTTGTACTTATACTTATATTTATACATATACATATACATATACTTGTACATATACTTATACTTATACTTATACTTATACATATACTTATACTTATACTTATACATATACTTGTACTTATACTTATATTTATACATATACATATACATATACTTGTACTTATACTTATACTTATACATATACATATACTTGTACTTATACTTATACTTATACTTATACATATACATATACTTGTACTTATACTTATACTTATACTTATACATATACATATACATATACTTGTACTTATACTTATACATATACTTATACTTATACTTATACATATACATATACATATACTTATACTTATACTTATACATATACTTATACTTATACTTATACTTATACATATACTTGTACTTATACTTATACTTATATTTATACATATACATATACATATACTTGTACTTATACTTATACTTATACATATACATATACATATACTTTACTTATACATATACATATACATATACTTGTACTTATACTTATACATATACATATACAATACATATACTTGTACATATACATATACTTGTACTTATACTTATACATATACTTATACTTATACTTATACATATACATATACATATACTATACATATACTTATACTTATACTTATACTATACTTATACTTATACTTATACTTATACATATACTTGTACTTATACTTATATTTATACATATACATATACATATACTTGTACTTATACTTATACTTATACATATACATATACATATACTTGTACTTATACTTATACTTATACATATACTTGTACTTATACTTATATTTATACATATACATATACATATACTTGTACTTATACTTATACTTATACATATACATATACATATACTTGTACTTATACTTATACTTATACATATACATATACATATACTTGTACTTATATTTATACATATACATATACATATACTTGTACTTATACTTATACTTATACATATACATATACTTGTACTTATACTTATACTTATACATATACATATACATATACTTGTACTTATACTTATACATATACATATACATATACATATACTTGTACTTATACTTATACTTATACATATACATATACATATACTTGTACTTATACTTATACTTATACATATACATATACTTGTACTTATACTTATATTTATACATATACATATACATATACTTGTACTTATACTTATACATATACATATACATATACTTGTACTTATACTTATACTTATACATATACATATACTTGTACTTATACTTATACTTATACATATACATATACATATACTTGTACTTATACTTATACTTATACATATACATATACTTGTACTTATACTTATACTTATACATATACATATACATATACTTGTACTTATACTTATACTTATACATATACATATACTTGTACTTATACTTATACTTATACATATACATATACATATACTTGTACTTATACTTATACTTATACATATACTTGTACTTATACTTATACTTATACATATACATATACATATACTTGTACTTATACTTATACTTATACATATACATATACTTGTACTTATACTTATACTTATACATATACATATACATATACTTGTACTTATACTTATACATATACATATACTTATACTTATACTATATACATATACTTGTACTTATATTTATACATATACATATACATATACATATACTTGTACTTATACTTATACATATACATATACATATACTTGTACTTATACTTATACTATATACATATACATATACATATACTTGTACTTATACTTATACTTATACATTATACATATACATATACTTACTTATACTTATACTTATACTATACATATACTTGTACTTATACTTAATACTTATACATATACATATATACTTGTACTTATACTTATACTTATACTTATACATATACATATACTTATACTTATACTTATACTTATACTTTATATACATATACATATACTTGTACTTATACTTATACTTATACATATACATATACTTGTACTATATATACTTATACATATACATATACTTATACTTATACTTATACATATACATATACTTGTACTTATACATATACATATACTTGTACTTATACATATACATATACTTGTACTTATACTTATACATATACATATACTTGTACTTATACTTATACTTATACATATACATATACATATACTTGTACTTATACTTATACATATACATATACTTATACTTATACATATACTTATACATATACTTATACTTATACATATACTTGTACTTATACTTATACATATACATATACTTGTACTTATACATATACATATACTTGTACTTATACTTATACATATACATATACATATACTTATACATATACTTATACTTATACATATACTTGTACTTATACATATACTTGTACTTATACTTATACATATACTTATACTTATACATATACATATACTTTTATACTACTTTTCGTAATGAATGAATGAATACTGTATTTCGAGAAATGGACAAAGAGCAAAGAACAACAAAACAAAACCAAAGAGTAGAAAAAGAAACAATACATGATAATAGACAAATACACAGTATGTTTTAAAACAGTATTGCTAACAAATCAGCTAATGCTAACAGAAATGCTAATTGTTCCCTGTATGTTTTTTAGCTTGTTTTATACATGTCCTTGTCTGCTGCTCACTGGAGACTCTTGCACACGTATTCCAATGGGGTTTTACTGCACATGACATATAATCTGAATCTGAAATACTAAAATAGTTTGAGACACATGCTGCGTTCTGACCACATTACAAAGTGATTAAAGGCAGCTGTATCGTTGTCTTTTCTTCCAAATATAACACCGGTCCCTGAAAAGCCGGTGACAGATGTGGGTTTTACGTCAGATCAAAATGAATCTTTAAACTTCCATTACTCATGAAAGAGTATTTGTAGAACATCTCTGCTCTCTCCTGAATCTTTTATACAAGTTGTGAATATTTTACTCTTCAGACAGAGACTGAAACCTCAATGAGTTTCTTAATAGGACAATCTATTTCATGGCACCGGGATATTTTCCACCTTTTATATTTTTACATTTATTGTTTACTATAATTACTTTTAAGAGTGATTTCACTGTTTGGTTTAAGTACTAGTTTAACTGCTGTCAAAAACAACACTATGCAGCAGGGTTGCCAGGTTGGGTGGTTTCCCGCACTTTTGTTCCAAGCGACTTGTAGATAATTATTCACAAAAAGACAATAAACAGAATCATGATTGTCTAACTTGTTACATTACTTTTTGCCAGAAAATCATTTTGGGTGTTTTTTGGGGTTTTGGGGCTGGAAAATCTTGCCGGCATTTGGCAACCCATGGGAGGCATGTTCTGAATCGTGTGCTTCGATGTGAGTGGTTGAAGGAACACGTCATTCAAAATAACGGACAAGTGGTTTATCCAATCACGTACGAGGATTTGTGTGAGTCAGACTTTCTTAGTTTGCAGAAAGAAAGTTATTAAATCTGGTGTGTTTTTATTGAGATACAAAAAAGTGAGTTAGTGGCATTTCTTCTTCTTCTCCTTCTCCTTCTTCTTCTTCTTCTTCTTCTTCTTCTTTTTTTCTTCTTCTTCTTCTTCTTCTCCTTCTTTTCCTCTTTCTCCTTCTTCTTCTCCTTCTTCTTCTTCTTCTCCTTCTTCTTATTCTTTTTTTCTCCTTCTTCTCCTCCTTCTTCTTCTCCTTCTTCTCCTCCTTCTTCTTCTTCTCCTTCTTCCCCTCCTTCTTCTCTTCTTCTTCTTCTTCTTCTTCTCCTTCTTCTCCTCCTTCTCCTTGTTCTCCTCCTTCTCCTTCTTCTTCTCCTTCTTCTCCTCCTTCTTCTTCTTCTCCTTCTTCCCCTCCTTCTTCTCTTCTTCCTTCTTCTTCTCCTCCTTCTTCTTCTTCTCCTTCTCCTCCTCCTTCTTCTCCTCCTTCTTCTCGTTCTTCTCCTCCTTCTTCTCCTTCTTCTTCTTCTTCTCTTCCTCCTTCTTCTTCTTCTTCTTCTCCTTCTCCTTCTTCTCTTCCTTCTCCTTCTTCTCCTTCTTCTCCTCCTTCTCCTTCTACTTCTTCTTTTTCTCCTTCTTCTCCTCCTTCTTCTCCTCCTTCTTCTCCTTCTTCTTCTCCTCCTCCTCCTCCTCCTCCTCCTCCTTCTCCTCCTCCTCCTCTGCTCCTGGTCCTCCACCTCCTCCTTCTCCTCCTCCTCCTCCTCCTCCTCCTCCTCCTCCTCCTTCTCCTCCTCCTCCATGTTATTGTTAGGTGAAGCTGAATAGACAGTTTCTACCCTGGCCCCAATGAGCTCAAAGCTGCTCGTCGCTGTAGCTGCTTTCTGTCCATGCGTCTCTCTCCGTCGCATTCTAAGTATGCAGCATGCGTCAGTCTGGCATGTGTGTGGAATGACTGGACCCTCCACCCTCCGGTACCTTCCCTCTAAATATACACCACAGCCGCCCAGAGTCAGAACCCGGGCCAAGGGAATTCTGGGATCGTCTTACACCACTGTACCTTCATGAAGAGCTGAGGGGGACAGGGAAGTGATTCACACAGAGTTTACCTTCAGGGCGGACACTTTACAGGCACTTCCCAGCGCCCGAAACCAGATCAGCACCAGCACTTTACAGGCACTTCACAGCGTCCAAAACCGGATCAGCACCAGCACTTTACAGGCACTTCCCAGCGTCCAAAACCGGATCAGCACCAGCACTTTACAGGCACTTCTCAGCGTCCAAAACCGGATCAGCACCAGCACTTTACAGGCACTTCACAGCGTCCAAAACCGGATCAGCACCAGCACTTTACAGGCACTTCTCAGCGTCCAAAACCGGATCAGCACCAGCACTTTACAGGCACTTCCCAGCGCCCGAAACCAGATCAGCACCAGCACTTTACAGACCCTTCCCAGCGTCCGGAACGAGATCAGCACCAGCACTTTACAGACCCTTCCCAGCGTCCGGAACGAGATCAGCACCAGCACTTTACAGACCCTTCCCAGCGTCCGGAATGAGATCAGCACCAGCACTTTACAGACACCTAAACTGGATCAGCACCAGACACCTAAACTAGATCAGCACCAGCACTTTACAGACACCTAAATTAGATCAGCACCAGCACTTTACAGACACCTAAACTAGATCAGCACGGCACTTTACTCTGCACTTTGCTGGGAGCCTCTGTGGGTACATACCGCCCTGGACCCCCTAGGGCCGCTCTGAAAAAGCCCTTTATGGGTGTGCATCGGCGTGGGCGCAGTGTGAGCAGTCAGTGCCCTGGACCTCATTAGCCCGGCCTTTGTTACTGTAAGCCAAACCGATCCGGGCCCAGATGCAGCATTGTAGATTAGATCCTTGCACCCACCAAGGCAACTGAAAAGCTGGCCCCGGACCCAGACTAATCCTTCAGCCGGGCCCTCTGTTCTCTGCAGCCACACACGATACACAAGTGCGGCACACACAAGAAGCAATGGAAGACTTTGGAATAACTTGTCCCTTGTGTCTATAATCCCTGTCCAGAGAGAGATCCAGTCCGATGGTTCCAGACCCCAGGCTTTTCCCTCCATTGTCACACAAATCACTAAACACAATCTGGGAATCAGCATTTGGACTGGACCTAACTGAACCTGGCTGCTTTCTGTAACATGGCTTTTCTCAGACACAAACAGACACATTATTATGGTGATACTTTGTTGCTGTCTGTACTTACCCAAAGCAAATGTTGTTGTTTGGGAAGTAAATAAGCAGAGTTTTGTCGGAGTTTGTATAAAAATCAACATGTCAATTGGAGGCATGAACTTAAGTCTTTTCCCAGTAGCTGTTTAACCATTTAATGGTTTTGACTCACTATATCTACTTAAAGCCTGATTGGACTCTTTGGGGCATCTCACCTGGTTTTAAGCACTATCAAACTGCATCTCAACCATTTGGTAAAGGCCTATTGTCAAAAAACTATAGGTATTAAAAAAAAGAAAAGAAAAGTATTTGTGTCATTAGACTTAGACTTAGACAGACTTTACTGATCCACAAGGGAAATTGCGTTGTCACAGTCCCTTGCACAGTATTTCACAATAAAAAATATCATATCAAGAAAGTGTCCCATATCTTAGAAAATTCCAAAATAATAAATAAATATAGGTTTCTTTAAGGAGTGACTGTTAAAGAGTTACGCAAAGTCACCAAACTGTTTAGAACTAATTTGCCAAAATATTTCTCTCAATCCCACACAGACACGACTAGAACCCTCCGTGTCTCCATCTTGTTTTCTTCTGTTTGCGGTTTTTAAGTTTAGCCTCAAAACCCATTTGTTAAAGACTCAGCAGGAGATGACACGATGTACACGTGTGGCCTAAAGTGGTACTGCAGCCTCTCCCACTCTCCCTGACTCAGGTTGCCAGATATGCAGACGAATCCAGCTGGGACCATAACAGCTGAATAGACAAGAGTTTTGGCAACAACAAATCTATAACCAACACCTTTTTCACAAAGATAGAAATCCTGGTTTTATTCCTTGTTTTGTCGTTAATGATTTGAGAATCATAACGAGACCTGTTTTAGTTCTGCGCCACATGGTACTTTACCAGTGAGATTAGCTCCACGCGGTGAGTTCTAGCGCCCGGATCACAGACTTTCTGATTGGTGAAACGGTGGATGGCGGGACATCAAAATGAAAACAATAACAAGATTTAGAGGCTGGAAAAGTAATTTAGAAATTTAAATATCTCTGAACTACTGTTATCAGTTAAAGAAGTATTGGAAAAGAGCAGATTATTATTATGACAGATTAGGGCCCTTTAATGATGACAGATTAGGGCCCTTTAATGATGACAGATTAGGGCCCTTTAATGATGACAGATTAGGGCCCTTTAATGATGACAGATTAGGGCCATTTAATTATGACAGATTAGGGCCTTTGATGATGACAGATAGGGCCCTTTAATGATGAAAGATTAGGGCCCTTTAATGACGACAGATTAGGGCCCTTTAATGATGACAGATTAGGGCCCTTTAATGATGACAGATTAGGGCCCTTTAATGATGACAGATTAGAGCCCTTTAATGATGACAGAATAGGGCCTTTGATGATGACAGATTAGGGCCTTTGATGATGACAGATTAGGGCCTTTGATGATGATAGATTAGGGCCTTTGATGATGACAGATTAGGGCCTTTGATGATGATAGATTAGGGCCTTTGATGATGACAGATTAGGGCCTTTGATGATGACAGATAGGGCCCTTTAATTATCTGGACTGGTCTGGACTTTGCTTTGACAAGTACATTGTTGTGTTGTTGTTGTTGGTTCAGTTTGTGTAGTGGCAACACATACATCGTTGGGAATTCTCGTAAACGGCTTCAAAGTGTGTGTTAAAATGATCTGGCTTTTTATGGAGTTTGGACCAGTGGGGGCGGGTCCCGGCACAAAATGTGGTTTTACTGCAAATGGATCTTTTAATCCAGGTGTTAAACCAGTTGTTAAACCAGGTTGTTAATCCAGTTTTTTCAAGTGTTAATCCAGTTTTTAATCCAGTTGTTAAGACAGTTGTTAATCCAGTTTTTAATCCAGGTGTTAATCCAGTTGTTAATTCAGGTGTTAATCCAGGTGTTAATCAGCCACTAAAGTCTCAAACTCTAAATTATCTGCATGTTTTGCCCCCGTCTCCGAATCCCTCTCTCTGTGATGTCACATGAGAAGCCCCTGGTCCCGAGGCCCACATTGTTGTGGTCTGTGCGTTACCACGGCAACAGAATAATATTTCTCGTCTCTCGCTCTCGGGTCCACACTTCCTCACCAGCAGGAATCCTGACGTTTCCTGCTTTCTCTTCATGTGTTTCTTATTTGTGGGAATGTGATGTGGCAGAGTGGTTAGCCCTGGATGGAGCTGACCACAGATAAGAAAATATGAGATTTTATTGATTAAAAATATATATAATTATGTACAATAATAAAGTGGCAATAAAAGAAGGTTTTTCAGTCCTAGTGCATTAGTGACTTATTGTACAGTCTGACAGCGGTGGGGACCATACTACCATTCAATTTTCTTCCGCTTCATCCCTTGCCGGGTCGCGGGGGCAGCAGTCTGAGAGCAGAGACGCCCAGACTTCCCTCTCCACAGACACTTCCTCCAGCTCCTGATCTCCTCCCTCTGTGTCCTGGGTCTCCTCCTGGTCTCCTCCCTCTGTGTCCTGGGGCTCCTCCTGGTCTCCTCCCTCTGTGTTCTGGGTCTCCTCCTGGTCTCCTCCCTCTGTGTCCTGGGTCTCCTCCTGGTCTCCTCCTGGTCTCCTCCCTCTGTGTCCTGGGTCTCCTCCTGGTCTCCTCCCTCTGTGTCCTGGGTCTCCTCCTGGTCTCCTCCCTCTGTGTCCTGGGTCTCCTCCTGGTCTCCTCCCTCTGTGTCCTGGGTCTCCTCCTGGTCTCCTCCCTCTGTGTCCTGGGTCTCCTCCTGGTCTCCTCCCTCTGTGTCCTGGGTCTCCTCCTGGTCTCCTCCCTCTGGGTCCCGTGTTTTGGCTCCAGTCTTCAGGCTGTTTTAGACACTTCTATTTCTGCCGGTCTTTTCCGAACCAAATACCACACGCTTTATGGAGCTGAGTGCGGTGACGGACGCCGGAACATTCCACCGAGTGTTGTTTTCACGCCGCTGTCTCCAACGGCAAATATTCTGCAGGATCAAAACAGAGACATTTGAGCGGTTAGTGCGTCTCAAGTCCTGGGCCACGTACACGTAACACCCAGAGTTTAACATCCAATTCCTTTCAATACCATTTAATATTATAGCACTTTTAAGATTGGTGTTTTATAGATGCCTAGTTTCATATTGCAGGTGAAAGACAGACCTCTGAAGCTAAGCAGGGCAGGGCCTGGTTAGTGCTGTGATGGGAGACCTCGGAGTACAGCAGGTGCCACAGTGGGGCGGCTGCGGCTGTAAAGTGCCAAACTGTGGTTGTGTCCTTGGGCAAGACACTTCCCCCACATTAGAATGAGTCTGGTGTGTGTGTGAATGGTTGGTGGTGGTGGGAGGGGCCGATGGCACAGACTGGTTGCCTCGCTTCTGTCAGTGTGCCCCAGGGCAGCTGTGGTGACAGTAGTAGTAGCCACAGAAAAAAGCTATGATTCGTCTTAGAGAGTCCAGAAAAACGTTGTATAAAACCGCAGCCTTATTATTATTATTATTATTATTATTATTATAGAACATATTTTCCAACAGAAACAAGGCTGCATTACCTCACCACAGATCGATGCCATGACATAATTAAACTAAAAGACACTAAAGACATGGATCCATGCGTCCTGTATAATGTCGTTAGTTTGGAGCAGCTCTAACTTCCTTGGTCTGTGGTGAGTGTTCTCGTCTGTGTGGCTGCCAGATGACACTGTGTATGTGGGTGTAGCGCCTGTACATTATCCTGCCTTATACAGTTCTCTTTCCCATATGTTTCCTCATCTCGGATTAGCCTCACTTGACTTTCACAAGCTGCAAGAACTATCCAGGTCATTTCAAACCCGTGTCTCTGCCTCTCGTTCTCACCGTGTGATTTATGACCCCGCACGTGAGTTTGTTATTGTGCAAGTGGTCGTCAGATGTGAGAGTGGAGTCCGCCTCGAGTGTGTGTGTGTGTGTGTGTGTGTGTGTGTGGGTGTGTCACACAGCCTGGAGCTCTCTTACACAGCACTCAGCCTCTGTCTCTCTCCTCTGCTTTCACTGGAAACATCATGTGTCTCTGGGAGGCTCTGAAAAACGCTGTTAGTCAGAGGTGGGGAAGCGGAGGAGAGCCGAGATAATCTGCAGATCTTGGCGTTTTGTGGCGGCTAGCTTCGGAAACAGTTGGAGCTTAAGCTTGCTGGATGCTTGGAGAAAGGAGACGGCAAGATCCAAGACAAAGGCATGGGTTAATACTGTCCCATGGAGCGCCTTGCGGAGTCTTGTCAAGCTTCTCCAAATGGAAGCGGTCGATCTGATCCTCCTCACGTGGAACTCGTCTGCCCAGATGGAATAGCGTCCATGGTATTTGTTTGGATATGCCATGCTCGCCCAGAGGAACGGCCCAGTGCCTCTCAAGGATGTCTGTGAAATGTTGGATGTGGAAGTGACGGCTGAAGGGTGCTGCTCGCTGTCCCGGTCCTCCCCGTCGTCCGGAGGCTGTCCGTGGGCTCGCCTAGCCGGGGTGGACGGGTGCCTGTCCGAGCCCTACTGTCTGTGGTTCCAGCTGTTAGCCAGAGCGTACTGGGGGGACGTGGAGATCGGACTCAGCTGTCCCAACCGCACTGTGTCCTGGGCCCGGCTGAGGGAGGGTGTCCGGTCCAGGGTAAGGAACACGGACGGGAGAAGGGAAGAATTCGGAACGTGACGGACCTGTGCCTCCTGTAAATGTCAAAGGATATCAACTATTCACAGTGTTACAACATGTTTTTACTGCATAACGATGACATCACCTCAGTTTAAGTGGGTAGAAAGGACTGATGAGGCTGTGCATGTATCCTACTGTCACTTTACCTGCTGCTAATGTTGTTATTATTATTATTATTATTATTATACTGCTGAGGCTGTGCATGCATCCTACTGTCACTTTACCTGCTGCTAATGTTATTATTTTTATTATTATACTGCTGAGGCTGTGCATGCATCCTACTGTCACTTTACCTGCTGCTAATGTTATTATTTTTATTATTATACTGCTGAGGCTGTGCATGTATCCTACTGTCACTTTACCTGCTGCTAATGTTGTTATTATTATTATTATTATTATACTGCTGAGGCTGTGCATGCATCCTACTGTCACTTTACCTGCTGCTAATGTTATTATTTTTATTATTATACTGCTGAGGCTGTGCATGTATCCTACTGTCACTTTACCTGCTGCTAATGTTGTTATTATTATTATTATTATTATACTGCTGAGGCTGTGCATGTATCCTACTGTCACTTTACCTGCTGCTAATGTTGTTATTATTATTATTATTATTATTATACTGCTGAGGCTGTGCATGTATCCTACTGTCACTTTACCTGCTGCTAATGTTGTTATTATTATTATTATTATTATACTGCTGAGGCTGTGCATGTATCCTACTGTCACTTTACCTGCTGCTAATGTTGTTATTATTATTATTATTATACTGCTGAGCCTGTGCATGTATCCTACTGTCACTTTACTTGCTGCTAATGTTATTATTATTATTATTATTATTATACTGCTGAGCCTGTGCATGCATCCTACTGTCACTTTACTTGCTGCTAATGTTATTATTATTATTATTATTATTATTATACTGCTGAGCCTGTGCATGCATCCTACTGTCACTTTACCTGCTGCTAATGTTGTTATTATTATTATTATTATACTGCTGAGCCTGTGCATGTATCCTACTGTCACTTTACTTGCTGCTAATGTTATTATTATTATTATTATTATTATACTGCTGAGCCTGTGCATGCATCCTACTGTCACTTTACCTGCTGCTAATGTTATTATTATTATTATTATTATTATACTGCTGAGGCTGTGCATGCATCCTACTGTCACTTTACTTGCTGCTAATGTTATTATTATTATTATTATTATTATACTGCTGAGCCTGTGCATGCATCCTACTGTCACTTTACCTGCTGCTAATGTTATTATTATTATTATTATTATTATACTGCTGAGGCTGTGCATGCATCCTACTGTCACTTTACTTGCTGCTAATGTTATTATTATTATTATTATTATTATACTGCTGAGCCTGTGCATGCATCCTACTGTCACTTTACCTGCTGCTAATGTTGTTATTATTATTATTATTATACTGCTGAGGCTGTGCATGTATCCTACTGTCACTTTACCTGCTGCTAATGTTGTTATTATTATTATTATTATACTGCTGAGCCTGTGCATGTATCCTACTGTCACTTTACTTGCTGCTAATGTTATTATTATTATTATTATTATTATACTGCTGAGCCTGTGCATGCATCCTACTGTCACTTTACCTGCTGCTAATGTTGTTATTATTATTATTATTATACTGCTGAGCCTGTGCATGTATCCTACTGTCACTTTACTTGCTGCTAATGTTATTATTATTATTATTATTATTATACTGCTGAGCCTGTGCATGCATCCTACTGTCACTTTACCTGCTGCTAATGTTGTTATTATTATTATTATTATTATACTGCTGAGCCTGTGCATGTATCCTACTGTCACTTTACCTGCTGCTAATGTTATTATTATTATTATTATTATTATTATTATACTGCTGAGGCTGTGCATGTATCCTACTGTCACTTTACCTGCTGCTAATATTATTATGGTATGGAAGGTATTGTATTTGAACAGGGAGAGATGCATTGTTCCAGGTTATAGCAAAGAAGCTAATTTCCACCTGTGTCCCTGGGCTGGTGTTACAGATTAATATTAACTGATCAATTGTGGTCATAATCTCTGCTGCTAAAGTACAGTGAAGACAATATCCTTATCTGCTCGACATATTTGTTCAGCGAACGTTAAAAACAGGTGCATTTGGAGCATTGTGTCTTCTCAGGCACTGGAACCACATGTTTTTGTTGTGTTCATGCAGGATGTGTATTGTTTCTTTGATCCTAATCGTTTAAAAGTGAGTGACTAATAAGAGTGTGTGGCCGGCAAAGAGAGAGAGAGATGTTTGGAAAGAAATGAGAAGGTCTAAGATGTCGCGGAGACAGAAAAACAACAGTCGAAGCGTCTGATTCTATGAACACAAATGAACTGGACCAGCTTCAGGGCCGTATGGCAGCACACAAACCAAACCAAACCAAACCAAGCAAGACTGTATGCATGATGTGATGATATTTATCCACTCTCACTGGTTCTTTAACAGTGAGATTAGCTCCACGCCTTGACTCATTGACTGCCATTGACGTATTTGTCTGAGACCCTCTATTCGACTGGAGATTATAGGACAATAAAAATAGCTAGAAAGAAACTTATTTTATCTGATGAAAGAAGACAATCCAGTCTTTCAGAATCTGGTTTCATATTTCACATAGTCTAAAGAAATAATATCCTGTGGATCTTGAGAATCAGTGAAATCATCAAAAACGGCTGGCAGTCAATGAGTTAAATTCTCCCTTTAATTATGACAGATTAGGGCACTTTAATGATGACAGATTAGGGCCCTTTAATGATGACAGATTAGGGCCCTTTGATTATGACAGATTAGGGCCCTTTGATTATGACAGATTAGGGCCCTTTAAAGATGACAGATAAGGGCCCTTTAATGATGACAGATTAGGACCCTTTAATGATGACAGATTAGGGCCCTTTAATGATGACAAATTAGGGCCCTTTAATGATGACAGATTAGGGCTCTTTGATGATGACAGATTAGGGCCCTTTAATGATGACAGATTAGGGCCCTTTAATGATGACAGATTAGGGCCCTTTAATGATGACAGATTAGGGCCCTTTAATGATGACAGATTAGGGCCCTTTAATGATGACAGATCAGGGCCCTTTAATTATGACAGATTAGGGCCCTTTAAAGATGACTGGACATGAAAATCTTACCTATTGCTGCTTTAACTTATTACCACACTTTCCTCGACCAAGCAAAACTGACTTTCTATTTATCTAAAGGACATTTTGGCGGTTTTCCTTTATCAAACAGACTTGTATCACAGAATTCCCCTTTTCCGTAAAGGCTGTTGTGGCCGTAGCACATGTGGCGCTGCCTTCCCCAAAAGGCCCCAAAGATGTTGCATAATCCAACATAAAAATCTGAAGCGTGAAAGGAAAACAAACAGTCCTCTCTGGAGCGCTGCCTTTGTGGACTGTGGCCCTGGTCCAGGATCCGCAGCTCTGAGTGTTGCTGATGATTTCACCAGTCAACCCAGAACCACCACACCCAGACCAGGTCCCAAGGGTCCAGACCTCTGCTGAGAGGAGGAGAGGAGGAGCAGGGAGAGAGGAGAGAGGAGGAGAGAGTTTAGAGCAGGAGTCTCCAACCTTTTTCAATCGGAGAGCTACTCTTATAGAAACTAAGAGGCAGAGAGCTACTCCATTTTGCAGTCGTAATAAAAATCTATCTAATAATTACTATGAAACATGGAGAACACATACAAAATACACCATAATACTGTATAACCTTATATTTATACTTATAATAGATATGTAAGGGCTCAAAAAGTATTTATTCAAGTGTATTTGTTTAATTCTAATTCCTTTGGCGAGCTACCTGTAAGGGGCTGGCGAGCTACTGGTGGCTCCCGAGCTACAGGTTGGAGACCCCTGGTTTAGAGTCACACCCAGACCAGGTCCCAGGGGTCCAGACCTCTGCTGAGAGGAGAGAGGGGAGGAGCAGGGAGAGAGGAGAGAGGAGAGAGAGGAGGAGGAGCAGGGAGAGAGGAGAGAGAGGAAGAGAGAGAGGAGAGACACACCCAGACCAGGTCTCAGGGGTCCAGACCTCTGCTGAGAGGAGGAGAGGAGGAGCAGGGAGAGAGGAGAGAGGAGGAGAGAGTTTAGAGTCACACCCAGACCAGGTCCCAGGGGTCCAGACCTCTGCTGAGAGGAGAGAGAGGAGGAGAGAGAGGAGAGAGAGGAGGAGGAGCAGGAGAGAGGGGAGAGGAGGAGAGAGTTTAGAGTCACACCCAGACCAGGTCCCAGGGGTCCAGACCTCTGCTGAGAGGAGAGTGGGGAGGAGCAGGGAGAGAGGAGAGAGGAGGAGAGAGAGGAGGAGCAGGAGAGAGAGGAGAGAGGAGAGAGAGGAGGAGGAGCAGGGAGAGAGGAAGAGAGAGAGGAGAGACACACCCAGACCAGGTCTCAGGGGTCCAGACCTCTGCTGAGAGGAGAGAGAGGAGGAGAGAGAGGAGGAGGAGCAGGGAGAGAGGAGAGAGAGGAAGAGAGAGGGGAGAGACACACCCAGACCAGGTCCCAGGGGTACAGGCCTCTGCTGAGAGGAGAGAGGGGAGGAGCAGGGAGAGAGGAGAGAGGAGGAGAGAGAGGAGGAGGAGCAGGGAGAGAGGAGAGAGAGGAGAGAGGAAGAGAGAGAGGAGAGACACACCCAGACCAGGTCCCAGGGGTCCAGACCTCTGCTGAGAGGAGGAGAGGGGAGGAGCAGGGAGAGAGGAGAGAGGAGGAGAGAGAGGAGGAGGAGCAGGGAGAGAGGAGAGAGGAGGAGGAGCAGGGAGAGAGGAGAGAGGGGAGGAGCAGGGAGAGAGGAGAGAGAGGAAGAGAGTGGAGAGACACACCCAGTCCAGGTCCCAGGGGTCCAGGCCTCTGCTGAGAGGAGAGAGGGGAGGAGCAGGGAGAGAGGAGAGAGGAGGAGAGAGGAGGAGAGAGAGGAGAGAGTGTAGAGTCACACCCAGACCAGGTCCCAGGGGTCCAGGCCTCTGCTGAGAGGAGAGAGGGGAGGAGCAGGGAGAGAGGAGAGAGGGGAGGAGCAGGGAGAGAGGAGAGAGGAGGAGCAGGGAGAGAGGAGAGAGGAGGAGAGTCTGAACTTCCACTTAATCCTGAACTGAACATTGTCAGAGAAGAAGCCTGTCTCACATTTTCAGCAACACTGTTCCAGATTTCGGCTGCATGAATCTGAAATTCTGGTTTAATCCTGACTAAAGTTCTGTGCTGTTTGGGAATATGGATTGGAATGCACATTATTGACATTTATCAGAGACATGTTTTGCTTCCTGACTGCAGAAGTCGTCAGTGTCTGCTTTAAATGCGTTGGAAAAACTGTTTGAACCTTGTACAAACTCTGCCACATTTCCCCAAAACAAGGACTCATGTTACAGTGTTACTGTTGAAGAATAAACCTCAGAAACCCGTTCAGCTGCAGAGTTTGTGATTGTGTAACTTCTGCCCGTCACGTTCCCGACAGAACAACCTTGACCACGAAATGACGCCACCGCTGGGAAAGATCTGTGTCTAACCACGGCTGCTTCTGCTGTGGAGACACTTTAAACTGTTTAGCTTTGGCTAAGCTAATAGCGTCACGTTAGAGACTGTTAAACTGTGATCTGTGGACGTCACATGTAGAAGAAGCACATTTACATATCTGTGACCTACTGTGATCAGTAATCAGTGTTGTGGTCCTCAGGCTAAACAGAAGGATGGCCGGGACCAGAGCGAGGCCTCGGTCCTGGGTTCTCCGGTCCCGGACGAGGAGCCGTTCTCGTGGCCTGGACCCAAGACTCTGCACTTGCTCCGGACCTCACAGGGATTCGGCTTCACCCTGCGCCACTTCATCGTCTACCCCCCAGAGTCTGCGGTACACAACTCTCTCAAGGTGAGGCCGCAACACACACACACACAAGAGACCAAAGAGAGAGAGACCAGAGAGAGACCAGAGAGACCAGAGAGAGAGACCAGAGAGAGACCAGAGAGGGACCAGAGAGAGAGAGCCCAGAGAGGGACCAGAGAGGGACCAGGTAGAGAGAGAGAGACCAGAGAGAGCCCAGAGAGAGACCAGAGAGAGAGAGCCCAGAGAGAGACCAGAGAGAGACCAGAGATAAATCAGGGGCTTTTCAACAATAGCATGGCTGTGTGGCTGTATTGTTGGAGCTGAAGTTGGCTGGATGATACTGTGAACTTATCTTTCTGACCTCAATGGTACTTCCTTCGCTGCTACATCCTTCAAACAGTCACTACAGTCTCTTGTTTACTTCTTTCTCCACATTATGGGATAGAATGACAGTGGTCTTTAGATTCCCGGGAAGTTTGTAGAAATGCAGAAGTATTGTAATCCTCCCAGTGTCTCGTTCAGCTCGCTCTGGTCCGGCCAAAGACCATAAACCAAAGACTATAAACACACGGCTCTATACTAACTTTGTAGGAAATCCGTCTGTGCGTGCTCAGGAGGCTGTCCAAATACACTTCAGAGAAAAGTCAACCTGAGTTATCCTGAATTATCACCAACAAAAGCCAATATGAAGGCGGCCGATAAACTCTGGGAAACCTGACCCCAGAGTCTGCTTCACCCTGAGTCTGGGGGAGTCTGTGCCCCTGGAACGGCTTCAATGGCTGGATCGGATCCCAGAGCGCAGGTCGGGACCAGAGAGGAGATATTTACACTTATTTACACTTATTTACACATATTTACATGTAGCTGGTTTACCTGACGGACTGCTTTAGCTTTAGCACAACTCTTCATTAAAGTGATAGTCTGGAACTCTAAATGAAATACACATGTTAAGAATTGTATTAAATTGTCCTCCTGGTCTTAAATGTTGATATAAAATAAGTAATTTTATGAATTCTAATATTACAGGTAAGTCCCGCCTTCCCTTCTCTTAGCTATAGCTCAAAATCCACGAGGCTGTCCACGTTAACCAATCAAGTGATGCCAAGGGCTGTCAATCATCTGCTCTCATGCTCGTATATAATTCTCTCTCTCTCTCTCTGGTCTCTCTATCTGGTCTCTCTCTGGTCTCTCTCTCTGGTCTCTCTCTCTGGTCTCTCTCTCTGGTCTCTCTCTGGTCTCTCTCTGGTCTCTCTCTGGTCTGTCTCTGGTCTCTCTCGCTGGTCTCTCTCTGGTCTCTCTCTGGCCTCTCTCTGGTCTCTCTCTGGTCTCTCTCTCTGGTCTCTCTCTCTGGTCTCTCTCTGGTCTCTTCTCTCTGGTCTCTCTCTCTGGTCTCTCTCTCTCTCTGGTCTCTCCCTGCTCTCTCTCTGGTCTCTCTCTGGTCTTTCTCTCTCTCTCTCTCTCTGGTCTCTCTCTGGTCTCTCTCTCTGGTCTCTCTCTCTGGTCTCTCTCTCTGGTCTCTCTCTCTCTCTGGTCTCTCTCTGGTCTTTCTCTCTGGTCTCTCTCTCTGGTCTCTCTCTGGTCTCTCTCTGGTCTCTCTCTGGTCTCTCTCTCTGGTCTCTCTCTGGTCTCTCTGTGGTCTCTCTCTGGTCTCTCTCTGGTCTCTCTCTGGTCTCTCTCTGGTCTCTCTCTTTGGTCTCTCCCTGGTCTCTCTCTCTGGTCTCTCTCTGGTCTCTCTCTGGTCTCTCTCTGGTCTCTCTCTCTCTCTCTCTCTCTCTCTACTCTCTTAAATGCTACATTATAAACACTGTATCATTCATCTTTAACTTCTTCTTTGTGTTCAATTATGAAATGTTGTGTGTAAAACTTTATTTCTCCTCTTGCAGGATGAAGACAGCAGCAGCCGAGGTGAGTTTGAAAACTAAAAATGTGTTTATTAGTGTTGGAGAAGGAGACTCAGGTGCTGCTCATTTGTTCAATCTCTGCAGTAAATTGGAAAAACTAACAAAGATTGGCAGATAATTAACACAGCTTCATTTAGATGCATCATTCTATTCCCCTGTGACCTGGATGGTCTCTGGTCTCTCTCTGGTCTCTCTCTGGTCTCTCTCTGGTCTCTCTCTGGTCTCTCTCTGGGCTCTCTCTGGGCTCTCTCTGGTCTCTCTCTGGTCTCTCTCTGGTCTCTCTCTGGGCTCTCTCTGGTCTCTCTCTGGTCTCTCTCTCTGGTCTCTCTCTGGTCTCTCTCTGGCCTCTCTCTGGTCTCTCTCTGGTCTCTCTCTGGTCTCTCTCTCTGGCCTCTCTCTGGTCTCTCTCTGGTCTCTCTCTGGTCTCTCTCTCTGATCTCTCTCTCTGGCCTCTCTCTGGTCTCTCTCTGGTCTCTCTCTGGTCTCTCTCTGGTCTCTCTCTGGTCTCTCTCTGGTCTCTCTCTGGTCTCTCTCTGGGCTCTCTCTGGTCTCTCTCTGGTCTCTCTCTGGTCTCTCTCTGGTCTCTCTCTGGGCTCTCTCTGGTCTCTCTCTGGTCTCTCTCTCTGGTCTCTCTCTGGTCTCTCTCTGGCCTCTCTCTGGTCTCTCTCTGGTCTCTCTCTGGTCTCTCTCTCTGGCCTCTCTCTGGTCTCTCTCTCTGGTCTCTCTCTCTGGTCTCTCTCTCTGGCCTCTCTCTGGTCTCTCTCTGGTCTCTCTTTGGTCTCTCTCTGGTCTCTCTCTGGTCTCTCTCTGGTCTCTCTCTCTGGTCTCTCTCTCTGGTCTCTCTCTCTGGCCTCTCTCTGGGTCTCTCTCTGGTCTCTCTCTCTGGTCTCTCTCTGGTCTCTCTCTGGTCTCTCTCTGGTCTCTCTCTGATCTCTCTCTCTGATCTCTCTCTCTGGTCTCTCTCTCTGGTCTCTCTCTCTGGTCTCTCTCTCTGGTCTCTCTCTGGTCTCTCTCTGGTCTCTCTCTCTGGCCTCTCTCTGGTCTCTCTCTGGTCTCTCTCTCTGGTCTCTCTCTCTGGTCTCTCTCTCTGGCCTCTCTCTGGTCTCTCTCTGGTCTCTCTCTGGTCTCTCTCTCTGGTCTCTCTCTCTGGTCTCTCTCTCTGGTCTCTCTCTGGTCTCTCTCTGGTCTCTCTCTGGTCTCTCTCTCTGGTCTCTCTCTGGTCTCTCTCTCTGGTCTCTCTCTGGTCTCTCTCTGGTCTCTCTCTGGCCTCTCCCCGGCCTCCCTCTCCTCTGGCTCTGTCTTGGCTGGGGGTTGTTTGGTCTGGACGTGGTGTGTGGTAGAACAGCTGAATTTGTTGGTTTGTTTTGCTTCTCTGGACTCCTCTCGCGGTCGCGCCGTCGTCTTGGCAACGCTACAGCATTCCTGAACGCATCCGGACCGTCGCCTCGGCCCTCGGTATTCCTCTCTCGTCTCCAGCGCCGCAGGAGCGAGGGACACAGTGGTACATGTGTCGCTGCAGCTCGGACTCGCTGTTTTTGTTTGAGTGAAAGGAAGATGAAAGTGTTTGAACATGATAGAATGAGGAATGTAACAGTCAAGGAGAGATCAGGCTGTCTCTCTCTGGTCTCTCTCTGGTCTCTCTCTGGTCTCTCTCTGGTCTCTCTCTGGTCTCTTTCTGGTCTCTCTCTCTCTCTCGCTGGTCTCTCTCTTTCTCTCTCTCTCTGGTCTCTCTCTGGTCTCTCTCTCTCTCTGGTCTCTCTTTTGTCTCTCTCTGGTCTCTCTCCCTGCTCGCTCTCTGAACTCTCTCTGGTCTCTCGGTCTGGCCTCTCCGGTTTCTCTCTGGTCTCTATTTTGTCTCTCTCTGGTGGCACCCTGTTCTTTCTCTGGTCTCTCTCTGATCTCTCTCTAGTCTCTCTCTGGGGCCTCTCTGGTCTTTCTCTCTGGTCTTTCTCTCTGGTCTCTCTCTCTGGTCTGTCTCTGGTCTCTCTCTGGTCTCTCTCTCTGGTCTCTCTCTCTGGTCTCTCTCTCTGGTCTCTCTCTGGTCTCTCTCTGGTCTCTCTCTCTGGTCTCTATCTGGTCTCTCTCTCTGGTCTCTCTTTCTGGTCTCTCTCTCTGGTCTCTCTCTGGTCTGTCTCTGGTCTCTCTCTGGTCTCTCTCTCTGGTCTCTCTCTGGTCTCTCTCTCTGGTCTGTCTCTGGTCTCTCTCTCTGGTTTGTCTCTGGTTTCTCTCTGGTCTGTCTCTGGTCTCTCTCTGGTCTGTCTCCGGTCTCTCTCTGGTCTGTCTCTGGTCTCTCTCTCCGGTCTCTCTCTGGTCTCTCTCTGGTCTCTCTCTGGTCTCTCTCTGGTCTCTCTCTGGTCTCTCTCTGGTCTCTCTCTCTGGTCTCTCTCTGGTCTCTCTCTGGTCTCTCTCTGGTCTCTCTCTGGTCTCCCTCCATCACACTGGATTGATAACATATTTTTTCGACCTGAATTTGACTTTCTCTGGAGTGGAACTAAATCAATTGCACTTTCACTGATTGTTTTAGTGTAATATTAATCATATTCTTATCTTGAAAATCTGCAATCTTGCAGTTTTCTCCGTGACATCAGTCAGACCTGGACTGGACCCCCCCAGGTCTGACTCACACTAAAACTATGACCCAGAATCATCCGTTTGAAAGGAGGGAGTCTGTTCTTTCAGCTGTCAGCGGGAAACTATGAGATTCCTGTAACTGTCCGTCATCATTTGAAAAAGTGGCACATTCCTCCAAACCCCCCCCCCCCCCCCCCCCCCCCCCCCTTCTCACCCCCTCCCCCTTCCTCACCCCCCACCCCCTCACCCCCTCACCTCCTCCAACACACAGGTCCTTAAACAAGCAGAGCAACAGACTAGACCCGGCTCTGGGCAGTAAAAAGGTTCAGACAGACCAAAATATTAAGTTGTAATATTTTAGAGGTTGTTACTTTTACAAGGAAGTCAAAAGGAGCCAGAGAGAGTTGGAGCAAAACTTTGTTCATGAGCACTTTTCCTTTTGGGACCTTTCTCTCAAGTCTCTCTCTGCTCTCTCTGGTGTGACTCTGTCTCTGGTCTCTCTCTCTGGTCTCTCTTTCTGGTCTCTGCTGTCTCTCTAGTCTCTCTCTAGTCTCTCTCTCTGGTCTCTCTGGTTTCTCTTTGGTCTCTCTTTCTGGTCTCTGCTCTCTCTCTAGCCTCTCTCTCTGGTCACACTCTGGTCCCTCTCTGGTCTCTGCTCTCTCTTTCTGGTCTCTCTCTGCTCTCTCTCTAGTCTCTCTCTCTGGTCTCACTCTGGTCCCTCTCTGGTCTTTGCTCTCTCCTTCTGGTCTCTCTGGTCTCTCTCTGCAGACAGATTCCTGGGCGCTGTCCTACGGTGACCACTAACTATTTAGCCGTAAATACTCTTGTTGTGAATAATCAGTTAAATCCTGGCCCTGAGCTGCAGCCGGAGAAGACTGTGGTCATTCAGTTAAAAAAACTATACACTGAGGACTTCACAAACTCACAATGTTTGTCCAAATGTTCTTTGATCCTGGTGTGAAATGTATCGTAGTCCAATCAAACGACTCGGTCTCACACTCAGCTGATGTCTTTGTGCCGTTACCGAGAGACTGCAGGAAGTGTTAGCGCCGTGTACATAAAACCGGATCAAAACAAGCTAGTCTCACCCCTCCTGAACTCGAGGTTCTGTGTGGAATGTGTTAACCACTCTGGGATCCATCACCTTTAATGAAGGAGCGTCCGTGTGGGAGACGGATCAGAAACATGTTTACAGGAGACGGCATTCCTCAAGGAGCTGCTGTGTTCTGTGGGATTAGCATCAACAAGTTTCACACAAAGCTTAATGATATGAATAGGGCCCAGTGTTTTGCTTTGGTAACATCATATACTGTATACATACAGCTATCACCCCCACTACCCCCGTCCCACTAACCCTAACCTAACCCTAACCTAACCCTAACCCAGCCTGTGCTCATGTGCTGTTGTTTACGGAGCTCACGTCTCACAATATGGACGCATTTGAACGTGGCGTGACCATAGAATGATAGAACCGGGAAGTGCAGAGGAACGAGACTTTTGTCTGTTTCTCTGAGTAAGCAGAAACCGGTAACGAAGACACGGGAAGTTTCAGGTTAGCCTCCGCCGCTTGTTTACCTCAGCTGTCTGTGCTAACCACAGACCTGTGGCTTTTCTCAAGAAAGTGGGGGCCAGTGGTCCGCTGTGATTGGTCACAATCTGGCCCCGAAACACATTCTCTTCCTTGTTGCACGAAAACTCGATCTAATATAAAATGACAGTCCAGCACAAACCTGCGCCACTTATTCTTCAAAAGGACGTTTATCCCACTGCATTCATGGATATGGATTGGATTTCCCTCATGAATACAAAAATAAAGTGAGGTCGTCCAGCTTTAATGGTTGTGGGTTCGATCCCCGTGACTGCTGTCTGTGTGTCCCTGAGCAAGACACGGATAGTTCAATGTTATTTCCGTGAGTACACACAATATACAGAGATAAGTAGCTGTAAATGCTTCTTAAATACCTGAAAGTTATCACGATGTGGCGGAAAAATAATGAAGAGAAAGTGACATTGAGTGGACAAGAGTCTGAGTCCTCTTGTCCATGTTTGTCTTTATAGATCTGTCCTTTCGCTCTCAGACAGACGGTGTGAAAGTGTGAAACATGTTGAAGGTTAAAAAAAAGTCTGTACAAGATATAATTATGTACAATTACAAAGTGGCAGCAGCAGTGCAGGGTTTTTTCTGTTCTTGTTCATTAGTGACTTAAAGTGACTTATTGTACAGTCTGACAGCGGTGGGGATAAAGACCCTGCGGTACACCATCAAACTGTGGTCTTTTCTGGGCAAATATGTAGATGTGCTTCATACATCTGCAACCAGAGTAAACACAAGAGTGAGAGACATGACCATATCTATACATACCATCAACGACTTCCCATCTGCTCCAACTATCTCAAAGTCTATCTCAGTCATATTCAAACCCTTGGAAGTTCTTTGCTCTAAATCTCTGAGCGACCCTTCCTTCTCTGACACACTTTCTACGTCCTCGCACACGCCAAACCTGAAAAAATATGTACAGTATAATAGGCAAAAATTCTCATGGTCTTTCTCTCGAGTCTTTCTCTGCTTTCTCTGGTGTGACTCTCTCTCTGGTCTCTCTCTGGTCTCTCTGTCTGGTCTCTCTCTGGTCCCTCTCTGGTCTCTTTCTAGTCTCTCTCTCTCTGGTCCCACTCTGCTCTCTCTCTGCTTTCTCTGGTCTCTTTCTGCTCTCTCTCTGCTCTCACTTTGCTCTCTCTGGTCCCTCTCTGGTCTCTGCTCTTTCTCTGGTCTCTCTGGTCTCTCTCTCTGGTCTCTCTGGTCTCTCTCTCTCTCTGGTCTGTCACTAGAGTGAGAGACATGACCATATCTATACATACCATCAACGACTTCCCATCTGGGTGATTCTCACGAAATCCAGATTTAAAACAATTCAAACTTCAAAATTTTCAAAAGGCATTTGAAGACTAATTTTCTTTTAAGCACTTTAGATGAATGTCTGAACTTACTAAACACATTATTTTTCGGCATCGTTTTTGATTTTTTTAGTTGAATTACAGGTATTTTAGATATTGAGTGCCAAAAAAATCTCATTACCGCAACATGAAATCACATCAGATTTATTGTTAAAATAAAAACATTTGGGAAATTTTAAAAGTAGCTCATTAACACTTATGCCAAGAGGAATGTATCAGTCAGGAAAGATTACTTCGTTATATTTATAAATTTGAAAATATTTATAATTTGTCTCATTACCGCAACACATTTAATGTTTTACATCTAGTTTTTTTAGGATATTCCTTTGAAAACTGACATGAATATATATTTTTTGTGATTGGGATATAAAAAGTAGTACTACAAATTGTGTCAACACAATTGCTAAAAAAACCCAAAAAAAACAAATTATTAAATCATTTGCAAATGAACACGTTACGGTAATGAGAATGGTGTTTCGGAAATGAAATTCAATGTTTCGGAAATGAGATTTAGTGCAACATAGGTTAGAAATGATTCACATTTAACACCCAATGATATTTTAATGGTCAAAAGCATTTCATTTCATCATAGTCGTAGTAACAAAAGAATTCATTTATAACAAATAACAGTATTCATTTATTACATAGTAAGGTGGATGACAAATATAGCCTGACTTTCGCCAGACCCATGTAGTTCGCTGCACTTCACACATGAGTCTGGTACTGAGCCATAGTGGTTGGATTTCAGAAGGCAGGGCCTTGTAAAAAAAATCTTTGTATGTGATTGGATAGACCACTTGTCCGTTATCTTGAATAAAGTCTGCTTTCAACCACTCATATCGAAGCACACGGCTCCCATAGGTTGCCAAATCCCAGCAAGATTTTCCAACCCAAAATCCGCGAGAATACCCACAAAAAAAAAAAAAACACATTATTTTTTGGCTAAAAACTTAATGTAATCAACTTGGGCTATCATGATTCTGTTTATTGTCTTTCTGTTTATTTAATACCTGCAAGTCTCTTGGAAAAAAATATGCGGGAACCACCGAACCTGGCAACCCTGCTGCATAGTGTGTAAACAGGAACACTGAACCAGTGCTTCAACCAAACTTTACAGGAACATTTGACTCTTAAAACACACATATATCAACATAGAACCATCAACATATCGCCTCAAATTGCATTAAAAGTGACATCCGTGTCTTAATTCGATCGTATTAACTCTTTTAAAAAGATTCCGCCATCTTGGATTCCTCTCGCTGCTGCATGAGAGAAGCTTGAGAAGGCAGTGCAAACCCCACTTAACACCGGCCATTCTGATTGGTCGATAAAAAAATAATCTGGGGAATGCGTTCGCTATGGCGTCGATACCAGACCCATGTGGTTCAGCCAAACGCCTCTGGTGGAGCATGGCGGAACTACAAGGGTCTGGCATAGCCAGGCTATGACAAATAAGCCCTGAAAACACCTTTTTTTGTCATTCTAAACTGCATTAAGGAAATTTAGCAGAAATTAATATTAGTGTAAGAGGTACACATAAGTATCATTTATGGATGGCCCTCAGCAGAGGACCCTGTACTCCCGGAGAACCCCCCAAAGGACACCCCGGGGAACACGGTCGAACGCCTTCTCCAAGTCCACAAAGCACATGTGGACAGGTTGGGAGAACCCCCATAAACCCTCGAGTATCCGATGGAGAGTATAGAGCTGGTCCAGTGTTCCGCGACCGGGACAAAAACCACACTGCTCCTCCTGAATCCGAGATTCAACCATCGGTCGTAGTCTCCTCTCCAGTACCTTGGAGTAGACCTTACCAGGGAGGCTGAGGAGAGTGATCCCACGATAATTGGAACACACCCTCTGGTCCCCCTTCTTGTAGAGAGGGACCACCACCCCGGTCTGCCACCCCAATGGTGCCGCCCCTGATTTCCTTGCGATATTGCAGAGACGTGTCAGCCAAGACAATCCTACAACATCCCGAGACTTTAAATTGTCAGGACGGATCTCATCCACTCCCGGAGCCTTGCCACTAAGGAGGCTGCCAACCACCTTGGTGACCTCAGCCAGGGAGATGGAAGAATACAATACAATTTATTCTTGTATAGCCCTAAATCACAACAGAAGTAATCTCAGAGGACTTAATAAAAATAGAACACATGTTGAAAAATGTCCATACTTGTTCTAGAATGTTAAAGTCGTCACGTCCTGGATCATCACCACAGTCCTTCTAGTTGGACACTAACTGCCCAACAGACCCTCCTGCATTGGCAAGGAAAAACTCATAAGAAAACCCCCCTCCGGTCCAGAGGACGTGACGAGGCACCTCTTTACTCTCCGAACTCCTCCCAGTCCCGGGTTTTTGCCTCTGCAACAGCCCGGGCCGCAGCACACTTGGCCAGCCGGTACTGGACAGCTGCCTCAGGAGTCCCACGAACCATCATGGCTTGATAGGACTCCTTCTTCATCGTGACGCATCCCTTACTGCCGGTGTCCACCACCGGGTTCGGGGTCTGCTGCCGGGACCAGCACCAGAGACCTCGAGAACACAGCTGCGAGCTGCAGCATAGATGCGGAGAACATAGTCCACTCAGACTCAATGTCCCCCCCCTCCGCCGGGACCTGGGAGAAGCTCTCCCAGTGAGTTGTGTGAGTTAAAAGTCCGTCTGACAGGGGGCTCAGCGAGACGTTCCCAGCAGACCCTCATTACACGCTTGGGTCTGCCAGGTCTGACCGGCTTCCTCCTCTGCCAGCGGATCCAACTCACGACCAGGTGGTGATCGGTTGACAGCTCCGCCCCTCTCTTCACCCGAGTGTCCGAGACACGCGGTCGAAGGTCAGATGATACGAAAACAAGGTCGACCATCGACCTCCGGCCTAGGGTGTCCTGGTGCCACATGCACTGGTGGACACCCTTGTGCTGGAACATGGTGTTTGTGATGGACATTACAGCACAATTCATATCAAGGAAACGCAAAGTGCAATACAGAATAAGATACCGTTGGAACATGGTGTTTGTGATGGACAATTTGGTGTGATGGAACATGGTGTTTGTTTGTGATGGAACATGGTGTTTGCTCTGATGGCAAAAATATATCCCAATTATTACGTATAACTATTGGCGAGGAAAAAGCAACCCAGGGTACGTTCAGTCGCAAATGAAATTCGGGAAAAAAAAACACTTTCGTAATGATAACAAGAAAAAAAAAAAATAAAAAAATAAAAATCAAAAAAAATTAATAATATACTGTATTTTCGTTTAATAAAGCTTTATAATGCATGTGGTGCTGAATTTATCAATCCTTATGGGCAATAACATGTGCTGAAAGTTCCAAAACTCTGGTGTTAATGGGGGCAAAGTTTTTGTGTTTAGATTTGTTCGTTTGCATGGTACGTTGCAGGAAAGAGTTGAAAACCCTGGATTTCAGTTGTACATTTATCACAGTTTAAAGAAACAGACTAGAGTGTATAAATTGCTTACCTCGATAGCAGGAGGTGTTGGCATAAACTTGTCGCGTGACACAGTTTCACACAGTCATCTCAAACTCAAAACTTTGGCGTTCTGTTCACTCACAGTGAAGTCGAATCCAGAGCTTTAGTTTTCAAAGACCCTGATTTAAATGTGACAATAACACTGCTGTAGTGTGCTGGGAAAAATGGCCCCATTTCCCGATGCACACTTGTGAAAGTGGGAGAAACCTGCTGCTTTCTAGGTTGTGTTTCTTTGTTTTAGTCATCAACCTAAAACAGGTTAATACAATTATACAGGAAGCCAGCGGTCAGGTACAACGTTATTTTTCTTCTAGACTCTTTCTCTGTGGTTTGGGTCAGCCTTGCAAGTCTGGGGCTGTGAGCAGGGGGGGGGAAGGTCCAGCGAGAGAGAGGACAAGGCAGGAGACATGAGACACGAACCGGGACAAATCAATGTATTTTGGGTAAAAAATTATCGGTTTCAATAATCAGGGAAAATGCGTATTATCGGAATCATCAGTCTGACGTCATCTACAGCCTCGGCCCTGGATCTACAGCCTCGGCCCTGGATCTACAGCCTCGGCCCTGGATCTACAGCTATGGACCAATGGCTTCTATGAGTTTGTTATCATTGCATTTCCCGTGTTTGAACCGTTTGATTCTGTTGTTGGTCCTGCAAAACGACACTGCTGTTGTGATTTTGGGCTTTACAAAAATATATATTGTGCATGTATCCAGAAAGAGCTGTAGAACTTTCCCTGCGTGTATAACTAGTGTCTACATCTTGGCACAGACCTTGATGGCTTCTCGGAGTTCGGCCGCGTCAAACTGAGATGGAGTCATCAGCATCGCCAGAACCAGGTTTTCGAGGTTTCCCGTCAGCTCCGATTTCAAGTCACGCATTAAATCCTGAAAAAGTCAAGTTCAAATGTTTTGTTTCTGTAGCAAGAGCAGGATTCAAAGTTAGCAACAACATTTCAGGCTTATCAGTGGGTTTTGCAGCAGTTTCACACAGAACCTCCAACATGAGACGGGTCCTAAGCGTTCATCTGTGACAAAATGCCTGAAGCTGCAGAGTTCTATATGTGTCACATTTACAGCTCACAGATTCCAACTTTCTTTTGAAGAAAGAAAGAAAGAAAGAAAGAAACTGTTTTTAGCATCCATGATATAGTTAACTTTATTGTAGTTTGAAAGTTAGTTGAAAGTCAAGTCCCCGAGCTTTAAGGAGGAGCACAAATATGTAGAATTTAGATGAGGCCTTAGTCTAAGTTCAGTGACACTTCTGATGAGGACCAGCTGTTATTAACCAAATTATATAAGTTAAAAACAGCTCTAACCAGCTCTAACTATAGAAGTCAATAGAAGGCTCCAAATACCTTTCCATAAGTGGTTTTGTACGCAGCCACCATCGGAACTCGCTGTTTGTTGGTTCTGTTCCCAAGGAGCTCGATTATGGCGTTCTCATCCGTGCCTTTGGGAACAAACAGACAGAAATATCGTTAATATTGAAAAACGAAGATGGTGTCGATACGTTAGCCTAGTTTAGCGTCCACAAAATATATAGGTTTGATGTCATACTATGAGAATGTATCATCGCTTATATGCTGCCTCTCTCTCTGCCGCCTCTCTCTCTCTCTGCTGCCTCTCTCTCTCTCTCTGCTGCCTCTCTCTCTCTCTGCTGCCTCTCTCTCTCTCTGCTGCCTCTCTCTCTCTCTGCTGCCTCTCTCTCTCTCTGCTGCCTCTCTCTCTCTGCTGCCTCTCTCTCTCTCTGCTGCCTCTCTCTCTCTCTGCTGCCTCTCTCTCTCTGCTGCAGCCTCTCTCTCCTGCAGCCTCTCTCTCCTGCAGCCTCTCTCTCCTGCAGCCTCTCTCTCCTGCTGCCTCTCTCTCCTGCTGCCTCTCTCTCCTGCTGCCTCTCTCTCTGCTGCCTCTCTCTCTCTCTGCTGCCTCTCTCTCTCTCTGCTGCCTCTCTCTCTCTCTGCTGCCTCTCTCTCTCTCTGCTGCCTCTCTCTCTCTCTGCTGCCTCTCTCTCTCTCTGCTGCCTCTCTCTCTCTCTGCTGCCTCTCTCTCTCTCTGCTGCAGCCTCTCTCTGCTGCAGCCTCTCTCTCCTGCAGCCTCTCTCTCCTGCAGCCTCTCTCTCCTGCAGCCTCTCTCTCCTGCAGCCTCTCTCTCTGCTGCCTCTCTCTCTGCTGCCTCTCTCTCTCTCTGCTGCCTCTCTCTCTCTCTGCTGCCTCTCTCTCCTGCAGCCTCTCTCTCCTGCAGCCTCTCTCTCTCCTGCCTCTCTGCTGCCTCTCTCTCTCTCTGCTGCCTCTCTCTCTCTCTGCTGCCTCTCTCTCTCTCTGCTGCCTCTCTCTCTCTCTGCTGCCTCTCTCTCTGCTGCCTCTCTCTCTCTCTGCTGCCTCTCTCTCTCTCTGCTGCCTCTCTCTCTCTCTGCCGCCTCTCTCTCTCTCTGCCGCCTCTCTCTCTCTCTGCCGCCTCTCTCTCTCTCTGCCGCCTCTCTCTGCTGCCTCTCTCTGCTGCCTCTCTCTGCTGCCTCTCTCTGCTGCCTCTCTCTGCTGCCTCTCTCTGCTGCCTCTCTCTGCTGCCTCTCTCTGCTGCCTCTCTCTGCTGCCTCTCTCTGCTGCCTCTCTCTCCTGCTGCCTCTCTCTCTCTCTGCTGCCTCTCTCTCTCTCTGCTGCCTCTCTCTCTCTCTGCCGCCTCTCTCTCTCTCTGCCGCCTCTCTCTCTCTCTGCCGCCTCTCTCTGCTGCCTCTCTCTGCTGCCTCTCTCTGCTGCCTCTCTCTGCTGCCTCTCTCTGCTGCCTCTCTCTGCTGCCTCTCTCTGCTGCCTCTCTCTGCTGCCTCTCTCTGCTGCCTCTCTCTGCTGCCTCTCTCTGCTGCCTCTCTCTGCTGCCTCTCTCTCTGCTGCCTCTCTCTCTCTCTGCTGCCTCTCTCTCTCTGCTGCCTCTCTCTCTCTCTGCTCTGCCTCTCTCTCTGCTGCTGCCTCTCTCTCTCTGCTGCCTCTCTCTCTGCTGCTGCCTCTCTCTCTGCTGCTGCCTCTCTCTCTCTCTGCTGCCTCTCTCTGCTCCTCTCTCTGCTGCCTCTCTCTCTCTGCTCTCTCTGCTGCCTCTCTCTCTGCTGCCTCTCTCTCTCTCTGCTGCCTCTCTCTCTGCTGCCTCTCTCTCTGCTGCCTCTCTCTCTGCTGCCTCTCTCTCTGCTGCCTCTCTCTGCTGCCTCTCTCTCTCTCTCTGCTGCTCTCTCTCTCTCTCTGCTGCCTCTCTCTCTGCTCTCTCTCTGCTGCCTCTCTCTCTCTCTCTGCTGCCTCTCTCTCTGCTGCTCTCTCTCTCTCTCTCTGCTGCCTCTCTCTCTCTGCTGCCTCTCTCTCTCTCTGCTGCCTCTCTCTCTCTGCTGCCTCTCTCTCTCTGCTGCCTCTCTCTCTCTCTCTGCTGCCTCTCTCTCTCTGCTGCCTCTCTCTCTCTCTGCTGCCTCTCTCTCTCTCTGCTGCCTCTCTCTCTCTCTGCTGCCTCTCTCTCTCTCTGCTGCCTCTCTCTCTCTCTGCTGCCTCTCTCTCTCTCTGCTGCCTCTCTCTCTCTGCTGCCTCTCTCTCTCTGCTGCCTCTCTCTCTCTCTGCTGCCTCTCTCTCTCTGCTGCTCTCTCTCTCTCTCTGCTGCCTCTCTCTCTCTGCTGCCTCTCTCTCTCTCTGCTGCCTCTCTCTCTCTCTGCTGCCTCTCTCTCTCTCTGCTGCCTCTCTCTCTCTCTCTGCTGCCTCTCTCTCTCTCTGCTGCCTCTCTCTCTCTCTGCTGCCTCATCTCTCTCTCTCTCTCTCCTCTCTCTTCTCTCTCTCTCTCTCTCTCTCTCTCTCTCTGCTGCCTCTCTCTCTCTCTCTCTACTCCTCTCTCTGGTCTCCACTCTCTGCTGCCTCTCTCTCTCTCTGGTCTCCCTGTCTGCATCTCTCTCTCTGGTCTCTGGGTCTCCCTGCTGCCTCTCTCTCTCTCTCTTTCTCTCTCTCTGGTCTCCCTGCTGCCTCTCTATCTCTCTGCTGCCTCTCTCTCTCTCTGACTCTGCTCCCTCTCTCTGGTCTCAACTGCTGCCTCTCTCTCTCTGTGGTCTCTGGTACTCCCTTCTGCCTTTCTCTCTCTCTCCTGGTCTCTGGTCTCCCTGCCTGCTCTCTCTCTCTCTCTCTCTGGTCTCCTGCTGCCTCTCCTCTCTCTCTATGAGTGTCTCCCTGCTGGCCTCTCTCTCTCTCCGCTGATCTCTGGTTTCTCACCTGCTCTCTCTCTTCTCTCTCTATCTCTCTCTCTCTCTCTCTCTCTCTCTCTCTCTCTCTCTCTCTCTCTCTCTCTCTCTCTCTCTCTCTCTCTCTCCTCTCTCTCTCTCTCTCTCTCTCTCTCTCTCTCTCTCTCTCTCTCTCTCTCTCTCTCTCTCTCTCTCTGTTGTCTCTCTCTCTCTGTTGT